ATTCCACATTTCTGCATTTCCTGGACCAGAACTCGCTAATGACCATGTTTTCACCGGGTAAATCACTAAATGAGTTCTTCCAGAATAAACTAAGAAATATATAGTCAGTGAGAAAAGATATTATGCAAAACGCAACAACAACCATAGTTGTGTGATTCAAAATATTTTGATATCACACGCCCCAGCATACACCTATCATCCATAAGCATGATCATTACTGTACTCGTGCTCTGTCCGCAGCTCAGGGACAGCTTCTCACACCATCGCGAAATATATGTATTATCATTATTATCACTAAAGATCCGGATACCTAACTGTCCGACCCGGAGGTGGCAACATTCTAATTCGAATACTGTGGCAGCTTATGACAAATCTGGAGAAACGTATAGGGGCATACACCCTCAGACGCACACTATCTCCCAATAGTAACCGTTTCCAGTCTACTCTCCAACACCACATTATCCTACGGAACAACGTCTTCACCCTTTACTAACTGATCTTTTTCAGGGTGACATCCATCCCCAACAGTAGGACCTCTACATACGAGCATACAGAACGAGAGAACAATCTACTTTTTTCGACTGGTTTGTCCGTTGGAACTAGTACAAGGTAACACACAATGGAGAGGTTGTTTCATTGCGGCATACTATCCACGTCCAAGGTGACAGACGGTGTCAAATAACCAAATTTGCGCATCCTACCCAATTCTTTTCTCGCCTCCGGCATTGTAAATATTCACTCGCTATTACGTTTGATTTCTTCAAAATTTTTATCTTCCTTAGGACTCCTCACCTTGTTTGCATCACTGAAACATGGTGCGAATAAGCTTTATGTGAATTTCAGCTACATGTTCTGGGTTATCAGTCGTTCCGGGAAGACCGTCCACGCAGACGCGATGGTATCTGCGCCATCAACATACTTTTTGGCATAACAGCAACCGCAGTTGACCAGTTAGTCTTCAATGATTTATAAGACTCTTTATGGTTGACAATTCCAGTCTATGCTCTTCTACTGGGCTACGACTGCTGTCACCCCCCTCAACAGTTAATGTCTGTCATTAATGTTGCTTCGATCACTCCACCCAAATACAAACTCTTATGTGGAGGTTTTAATCTACCAAATATAAGTTTCATTACACATAGGCTTACAACAGCTAGCGGGATAGCAACGGTAATCCAGTATGTCTGTATGGATGGTTGCACACAACACATAAGCAGCCTATCAACTTAGACAACATCTTACATCTGGCCTTCATCATGGATATTCCATTTGTGTGCCTATTACTTTATGATCCATTAACGGAATTTGACCACGACATGGTGCTCTTCAGCATGAATATAAGGGTATCTGAAAAGTCCAGAGCAATAAGAAAGCCACTACTCCAATTAAACCTCATTGATTGGAGCATATTTGACAAGCAGCTTAGGACCATTTGTTGAGACCGGCTCTTCTCCATAACATATTCGGCCATAGCTGCAGGCGAATTCGCGAAAAACATAACTTGTACGGATCTGCTTTGAACTAACACACAGGTCCCTTCGACGGCCGATACTAACACTATTCCTAAGTCGCTTCCAAGCTTAAGAAGTTGAGATCACTGCACCACAAAAACAGACATTTCGGCATTAGTTCAAATACATGAAACCTTATTGAAACTTGAACAGTTTAGAATCGCTGAGGAAACGTGAGCCATCAGAAACGTCCCCAGGAAATTCCTGATCTATTTTTAAACAGGGTTATGTGTAAATCATTGAATTCCAACTTTGTAGACGCGTTCAATACGGCATCATCTACATCCCTTTTTTATTTGCAAGAAAAACGGAAGTGATATTGTGTACTATACCACTGAGTCTAAAGGATATACATATGACCATTACATTCATCAAACCGACATTCCAACCGGGAGTTGATGGTATTCCCTGCAGCTGTAAGATTAGGTGGCAAAAACGTGCCCCTTCTGAACATTCTTACATTGTCATTAAACACTGGCTAGTTTTCGCTTCACTGGAAAAACTCCATTATTATGCCCAAACACAACGGCGGGCCACGAGGTCGGATGTTAAACTATCGGCCCATGAACTATATTTCCGCCTCTGCTAAGGTCTTAGAAAGAATCGCCAAAGATCGTATAACTCATTTTCTGACCAGACAAAACCAACCCAGCACTTCACAACACGGGTTCACTACGAAAGCTTCCTGTGTCACATGCCAATCGCAATTCGTTAACCATGTTACGCAACTATGATGGTGGCATGGCCATCATCATCTTCACCCTTCTGGACATAAAAAAAACGTTTGAATACATACGGGAGAAAGCACTTTTTCCGTGTTTGAGTCCTATGGGATTAGCAATCCACTGTTGAGCTGGTTCGACTCATCTCTGAACGACCGAACACAAGGAGTACAGACAGGTCAGCACTGTTCTGCTCCCAGAAATGTCGTTAGTGGTGTCGTTCAAGAGATTGTATTGGGTCCATTGCTTTTCCTCCTTTACACACTCATTGGACACGGGCACCCTTTTTTATTTCCGGACGACATCAAAATATTGTACTCATTCCTACCTGAATATCTGGAACTATGTAATTAAAATTATAGGCGAAGATCTATCATCCCTAAACCAATGGAGTGAAAGTATGTCCATAAGGTTGTCGACAGATAAATCTCTCAGATACTCTACCACAGACGCAGCATACCAGAAAGATTTAGCATTCTTGCTGCCACCCCCTCGCAACTGTGTATTCCGCTTGGGACTTGAGGAATTCGATACTTTCACAGCCCCAACTTCTCTGAATACATCCTGTATCAAGTAGAAAAAGTAAAACAATTAGCAGGCTACTTCACTAGGGACTTTCACTATTGCAAACGCGACTTAAATCACTCTAATTCATAGTGTGACTCACACTAGAGTAATGCACCATCATACATAGCTACCTACGCTAGACAGCTAGAATTGCTTTGGAAAACGTCCAGCTCTCATTTACTGAAATGTTAATGCAGCGCTCATCAACGCTTACCTATGAAGAATGATGTTCTTACCTCCAGCTTGACCCACTCTGACCTCTATGACTGAAAAGCAACCTCACTCTTCTCTACAGTATAATATATTCGCGAGTTTTCTTAACCAGCACGGTTGCCCCCTTACAGTGTAGCTCAACCTATCCCACTCGAAATGCCTTCTGTCCTTACAGATGACCAAAACATCGTTTATATTTCATATTGGTGATGTACGCCTATCTGTGGATTTAGCTACCGTTTCGACTAAGGATCAGCGAGAGCCTCTCCGTACTTAGATCTCATGACGAAACTAGCTTTCCACCAATGTTACTTATTACATATTCCACAAACATTGTATCACCGATCCATATTGAATGCAAGTTCCTGAATGAAATGCCTCCGAAACTCCCTCTATACATGCTCGTTCTATAAAAGGGAACGTATCCCACCCGTCGGGAAACACGCACACATCTAGTTGTTTGTCACAAGATGCTCTTGCACTCGTTCTGTCACTGAGAACTCAACTGTTCCCTCTGATGGTTTAATTTCTTGCTCACTCCCCCTGAGTTACTGGTAGTTGCTGTAGTATCCGCAGCAGTAATTGTAGTCTGCGCGTCTGATTTGCAACCATAAGGTCATCTGTTCGAATCGCTGTAGGGGCGGGCGTCCTCGCGGTATACTCAGCCCACGCGCGACTAGTGGTGACCGCGCGGCAACGAAGCGTCGTTACGGTGTACGGCTGATACATTACTATTAATTGTTGCTGTTTTCGTTGTATCACCATGGGGCGTGTGTTATGGTACTCCGACGCAGAGATCGTGGTTACTGACCTCGAGCGAGCACGCAGCTTCGCACCCATCGTGTAGCCTGATGCGTTAGTTCAGGTTGCGCAGCATTTTAGCGTTTGTACCTCCGATTTTTCACTTTTTGACATTATTGCAAAGTATAGTGCACTCTTCGAGGACATCAAACCATGTCGTCCCCCGTGTATCTCTTGGTCATAAGAACGGCACTATGCGAACTGCAGAAAAGCGGTAACCTAGACTCTTATTCTGAAGTGAAAACGCCATGCATGATGAGTGTTTTTGAAAACTGCTCTGACATTCACCACTATGTGCGTTAGACACGACATGTGCTTCTCATTGTTTATGTACCTAAACATCAACTTTTTTAGTGGGCTGAAGACAAGTTTGCACCCAATGCCCTATTTCCATTGACATCAATTGGTACGTGCATTGAATGGTCAGGAGCGATTCTGTGTTGTTTACGTAAAACCCATTTTCTTTTGAAAGCCTTAGGGTACGAAGGATTCATCTATCTTCACTGTTATCGTCGCAAAGCTTGCCATCTAAGTCTATACATGTAGTGGCTGATTTACCATTGTCTCCGATTCCTAAGCTTCTTGGCTTTCTTTCATTGGAGAAAGCGGCCGATATTGGACGACTCTAGCGACAATTCCCCAACTGCTTCTCATATTTGTTCCACATTCCAGACACTGATAGCTAGGTCAGTTGTTATGCATGTGGGTACGCGCACTTGCATACCATTGCACTGATTGGGGAGAGCACGTTGTCGATGGGAAGCCCAACTTTTGCGTTCACTTGGATGAGACGCAATTTCCTCTACCCGCGCCTTCAAGGACCGCAGCTAGATGTGTTCAAGATTGTATCTTATCTTGGCTGATAGGTTTGTTTTCTCAACTGTTACTCCACTCAAGTTCTGATTAATAAGTCCTTATCGTCTTTACTTCCAATCTACGTGGTGTAACTTAACGAGCCACTTATACTTGCACAAGAGCAGCCTACTGACAACAATGCTGATATATGCTTTTGTCACCATTCATCTGAAGGCATGAACATTTGCTCACCCCGCCAGCGATTCTCGACTGCGGCTCCAAGAAACCCAAATACTGATCAGTTATTTGTACACAACGTGTGCTTCTTGCATCTGTATCACCTAGGCTCAGTTTTTACTTGCCTCTCTTCGCATCTTTTTACTCTGCACAGCAACCTGTGTTGGACCCGACCTCACCTCTCTCGATGTACCAAGCGGTTGGTTTCAAGCAGGATTGCATCCGATGCATGGCAGGCCTTCTTTCCCTATTCCCGTCCCTCTCTTCCAAATTGGCTTCCCATCGCTTGGATCGGTTCCCGCTGGATCCACCTCCATCAGTGTCCCATTGTGCTTTCGACCATCTTCTTAACGCTACAAATCGCGATTCGTTTAACCCATTCTCTTGTGAGTGGGCTATTTTCGCCACAAAGTTGGCCTTGCATCCAGTGACTGAGACCCCTGATGCCTTGGAAGGGGCTCTGTTGCTGGCCAAACGAATGGAAGATATGAAACTGCTCCGATAATTGTTTCTGAAATCTACCACTCTTTGTGAATACATGGCTATTCTCGATCTTGCCGAAATACAATCGCTACGTTTCCACCTCATGCCTCGTTCCTCTAAACGCGCAGTTCAACCGTTTCTCGCATTAGTTATCTCCCACTTTTTCCTCCATCCCTGCTTTCTTCATTGGTGACTAATATTTGCTTCTTCGCGGGTATCCTACATTAGTTGGTTGGTTGGTAACCCTTAGCGTTTCGTTTTCGAAGTGCATCGGTCATCCTACCGTCAGATCTATTCAGTGCTTGGTGCTTTTGTTGGGCATTCAACGACTGCATGCTACCCGCTTATGGTGCCGACTCGCAACTCCCCGTGGTACGCGGGATTTTGCGATGGAATGACGCATCACATGCATCTTACTTCTGTACACTCGCTATTACCATTCGAACAGTTTCAGAATCTGTTCTCCTCGGTCAGTTTCTGTTATTCTGCATTCCTTTCTGAATGCTCCTGTGAATGCTCACCAAGGGCTTCTATGTATTGCTTCTTTGTACGACCCAACATTAAACACCGTTCCTGATACATTTTAGTGCTTACCTCTTCACCGGCGATCACCATTCGTGCGTATCACAGATGTAGCCTCTAACTTCAACTGTAGGTGTTTTCAAGTTTACTTTCGAATTCGGAAAAGTTTCCTCCTTCAGCACCAACTATGTGCCGTCATCTTGCAAAATTCGCCCTCGGATGGCACATACGCTTTGTGATAACAGAATCCCATTGCTTCGGTTACATCCCCAATCGACACCACTGGAGCAAGAAACTCAGAACTGTGCCAGCTTATCTTAACTTTTCCTCACAGCCTCACGGTGCTACGCAACCACCCACCGATTATCATTCTATTCATCCGAAATTACAAGAACTCGTGTCTTTGGCCCAGTCAGATTCCCATTTCGGCCGATGGTCTGCATTGCAACAATCGTTACCATGCGATGTCCAACCCCTGGATCAGTATTTCACCCTACCTCTTGGAGATGTGTTGTCTCTAAAGAAAAATGCGGTCCTAGCGATCCTCCGTTTCGTGTGCTCTTTACCAGATGAATCCCTCGGTATGTACCTCAGTGTCTGTTTGCTCCTCTAGTTTTCAACTCCTGTGCTTGGCGAACACAGCAACTCATCTACCAAACCTAACTCTAACTTATATAGATTATAACTCATTGAGAATAGCTTACTCCGGACAAGCTGTTTCATTTATCTAAAGTTCTCTAAGCTGAAACACCTGCTATATATATAAGTCAAGTCAAAGTAGTCTTTATGCACCCGGCTAGGTGCATTTTCAGCATGTTACACCATCACTGCGGATGGTGAAGTATAGGAAATTACTGTCACATAAAACGCGTAAAATGTTCACACTTACCACACGAGCAAGTACTTTCGCATCATACTGATAGGTTTGGTGGGGTCAACAAGCAAGCGGGACAGCTACGGTATATATATATATATATATATATATATATATATATATATATATATATATATATATATAATTCTGTCAGTGACTGTAAATTGTTGGCAACGAACCTCTGAATCCTTATTTATTAGCTTAAGGCGATCATACAGCAATCTGCGCTCGTTGTGCATTAGAGGTTTTCACCTTTACCTACTCTGCAGATTTTTGTCTGTTTCTTACTGCTAAGGCGCGGCGTGAACAGTTCGCCTTGTAATACTGTACGATCGACACCTTTTTTCAGGTTTGTTGCGTCATCCAGTAGCGTCTGCCTTGTAATCCACATAGGTCACCGGTTCCGATCCGCGTTTGGTGCTGACGGCCTTGCGGTATCCGTATACAGCGCGCGAAACGTCGGTACAACATACCGGCGTGCTGCTGATCCTTCCTTTTTGAATATTACTATGCCATCCCGTGTGGCCCCATTAATCGTACTCACCGACATTGTTCCCATTGGATCGCGTCTGCGTTCTTTCGGTCTTGTGGAGCGTGCTCTCCTTTAGCCCTCTTCTCTAGCTAGTAAAACGGGTGATGACGTGGTGTGGCCGTCTTAGCCTTCGGTTTACTGTCACCTTTTATCATGGACACCGACGATCCGTTTTTGGACTAGGAGAGACTTCTTTAAGCCTAGTGTACATTTACTTTGAGATTTGATCCATCACTTACAATGTTTCTTCGTGTTAAATCATTAAGTGCTTCTACACCCACCTGCCACAACGACGATTGACCGGTAAACCTCAGGCGTATTTATGCACTTCATGTTGAAAGTGAGGTTTATGCACCCATGAAAGAGGAACACTGGGATCGATCTCGATTCATTTAGACTAACTAGCGCGTGCATGCATCTGCAAGCGCTTGCCTGGGTTCTACATGGACTCACTTCTTACGTTGTGTTATTAGCTTACATACCGAGCAATCTTTGCAAGTCCCTCCGCTTTTGGTGTATAAGAATGCGAATGACTAACTGCGCACGACTCACATCATCGGCTTCTTTGCTATTCTGATCCCCGTATCTTTTGCTTAACATCCTGTTTTAAAAGATGAAAGTATCTTTGACAACGTTACTCATGAAATGCAAATGCTTGCATTAATGCACGGCTTCCATGATAGCTGCTTTTTCTTCCTCTCATCTGCTTCAGCAGTAAGCGCAGATTCGATGGAATGTCCAGTAGACTCGCGGCTACTGCGGTTGAACTTGCTGAATCCAAATCGCATTGCTACCGACATATGCGATCCACTATCTCACGTGGGGGTTCGGCAACCTGGCAGACTGGTCAGCCGGTGTCCTGCACTCTTGGTCGCCAGCGCTACGTCCGTTCCTTCATCTCCGTCCTACGATGACACCATCCACTCGAGTCCCCCGATCACTCACTATCATCGAAATACAGTGATGACAGATGCTTTGAGCACTCTTGGGAGCTTATTACCACGGACTGATCTCATTTCATTGATCAACCGCTTTCCAGGTACATGTACCTTGTTGCCGCAACACCCATACGCTTACAGTTGCACTAGATACTTCGATCACTAGTATACAAGCTGCTATTCCAATGCCCCAGCTTACACGAATTTCGCTTTGTTAGACGCCTGTACCATGTGCTGATCCCAGCTGTCTTTATGTGCACATGAGATTGGTTAGCTTCGTGTCCGTATGTTCCACGCTCTTTTGGTGAGGGGGTGCACATTGAAACAAACTCTTTTGGATTCGAATCACTTCTTCGATTCAGAACCATAAAAGGGAACACATGTTCTTCGTGCTGGTGCCTCTAAGGTGTTTCACACCGCCCTGAGGTATTGACACTGCTGTTCCCATACTAGATTTGTGTTAAGCTGATAAAGAAAAAACGTGTATTGGTGCTAGCAATTGATACGGGGTTCCTGACAGTGCTATTTAGCTATCGATCATCTCTCCCTATCGCTTCTCTCTCCATTTTCACAGCTCTTTCGTTTACGGTGCGCTGTTAAATTTCGCAGTAGTAGGTCTTGTACACCATTTTATCCACAGCTGTCATCTGGAGCACCACTATTGCTTCGACTTCCTGGTCATCATAGCGTTATTATTGACTAATGCCGCTTATTGTTTTCTCAGTGCGATTCTCTCATATACTCCCTGTTTATCAGTTTTTAATGTTCCGTTACATGTGGCTATGTTTGCACTTCTACCGTGCTCCCACTTTGATCGAGTACTTTCCATTGCTTTAGGTTCGTTTGGTCGCTTGATTTTTATACGTTATACCTCGTTGTTATCTCTCCATTAGTGTCACTATTTCGAACCGCACCCACTTGTTTGACACTTCATCGCCTGATTTTGGGTTAGCGATATCTCGGATTTAACTTTTGATGCGCCCAATCCAGTCCATTATCGATTGCGGTTGCTGATGTACTCCTGTGCTGTAACTAAAGCAACTCTGTTTATCCCTGTCCCTCGCTAGCCTCTTTAACGATACATTAAATATCCCTTGCTCCAGTCAGCGCAATAAGCCCACTCGAAAATGCGACGATGTCTACTCACTGTTCTCCATAGCATAAGACCAGCTTTGTCGTTTCATTTACGACGATCTCACGCTATAACGTACCCTTTCAATAACCAAGACATTCCCCTGCACCCATGACGTGTAGTTGGTGATCACCTTTCTGAACTACAGCAGACAAAACAAAATCCGTAAGATTTTCATAGGATTACTAGCAACCTTGGTCAACTGTATGTCGATAGTAAACGCTGTCGCTAGCTAACAAGTTTGATTTTCTTATCATTAGCATCACCATCATGAACGACAAAAGTAAGCCAAAACCTTCTGCTGTCACTTCGCGTCCGCATTACCACTATGAAGGATACAATAAAGGAATAGGGGTTTAGCACCAAACACAAACGTCCTAAGCAGGGATTCCTGACCAAACATCTGCGCCTTGCCAAAGACACTCAGTCTCAAAGAACTGGCTATCGTACAACAGCCACTACCTCTAGGCATATTTTGTCTCTTCGAATGTCTCAGCATCATACACTACGCGAGCAGCTCTACTGGTAGCCAACGAGAAACGAGTCAGTAGCCCAGCTACGAGTCACAATCTGTCAGGCTTCGAGCCACGAATACGGTTGGTCACGTACGCCTTAATCTGGGATGCGAGACTGACGGATGGCGTCCATTTTACTGGCCGATACTTTCATATCCTGCTACCGGGTCATCGAACAGCTCTCAAACAAATAACCAATAAATAGAACAAGATCCTTCTCGATAGATGATGAGCGTATATATGTTGTATGTCCCTAATCAACTGATAATTCACTTCACTGGGATTTCTGGCGAGTCGACGTGACCATTGCTGCCGAGTGCCTGTCTGCGCATCTCGTCGCTGCGGACACGTTGGTGTCATGCTCCGTTAGCTGATGATCTGGCGATGTATGTGTTCCTCTGGCTCCCTTGTTAAACACCTGGATCTCTCACTGCGACATCTCAAATGGATGCGACCTGAATGAAACCAAAGTAGGGTTAGTTTTCCCGCACTCTTCCATCAAGCTATCATCCTTTTATCCCCTGATACATTTGCATTTTGCCTGCTTTTTTATCTTAAAACCATTGATTGCATGCCTTAGCCGTCAGTTTGATTATTCTTTGTTCATGACCCATTCACTGCGAAACAAACCTTATGTAAGATCGTTTGCCTCGTTCCTCTCTAACCTTTTACTTTCTTGGGCTATTATTCACCTTTAATTTTACCCGCGTTTTCTCATACAGCCGTATTGCTCAGACCCAGTAATGAACTAAACGAACTCTACTCCTATCTGACCGAACAAATGGGCCTTCAGTTCACCGAGTCGGTCAGAGCCATGCAAGTCCAATCACACCAACATGCTATGAGGCATTCCACTGGCCTGCGACTGGTAAACTGCCCCGCTTGGTGCATGTCACTGGAACACGTGAAAGCCCGGCATTCTTTGGCTCTTTTGGCTGGCTGCTGGCCTCCGGCGAAATTACCTGTCGAGCATGCAGGTTTGTACCACTTCTGACAAAACGAACTATCCAAACTGATATTGTTTACTGCTCGACACCGTTTTACAGTCAGTATCGTCTTATATTTTAGAATTGAATTACCACGCTGCTACCCCTGTGGCAACGCCTTCAGAGGACTGTTGTGTGTTAAGCAGCCACATTCTGTTTACCATGGGTTCCGCTGTTCGGTTTGCATAAGCTACTAGTGCTGCTTCTTTTTTTGTCTACCCTCTCCAACCTGACTCGTACGTTGATCATTGGTCGTTTTTTCAACCCACGTTTACACGCCTAAGAACGATTAACTAGGCAACGTGTATGCATTCGATGAGGAACGCATAACCTAACTACTGAAGCCCATGTATTGAAGCAGTCAGGTCACCTGTTGGCAACCCCATCTAACTTACAATTCCACCGCCTGTTTTCCTCATTCTTACTTTGATTCCGTCGTACATCACCGTTTCCCCGAAGCCAGTGGTGATAAAAAAACGGACGACATCTGAATGTCTTCTACGCCAATGGTCCAGATCTCACAACCATAGAACGGAAATCTTCTCACCGTGACATTGCTTCCTCCGTCTCATACGAAGATGCCGGGGTCACGTCATCTTTATGATACGTTAGCTAAAGGGGAATAAACATCTCAGCTATTGTCCAACAATACAAAATGATAAGCTATATGAAATATTCGAAATATTAAACATTACAGAATACTACAAAAACTTAAAATATGTATGTAATATAATGTGATGTGTCACATTATACATCAGGTATGAGGTCGTGTTTGGGGGGAGCCTAAGCGGGAAGGAAAAGGACAAAGACTCACAACACAAACGCCATTGATGTCGGCTCTTCTCCATGTCAACACTTATATCCAACCAGATTTTCATCGTCTTTCGGACCCCCGCCCGGCTGTCGGTAGACACTAAGTTCGAAGTGACGTAAGCAATCCTAGCTTTAGCAACTAGCATAGGTGTCTCATCTGTTGAAATATCAACACAAATGAAGCTTTAATGCAAACGGTCTCTACATAATCTGAAAGTAGTAGGAGTCTTCAGACATTCCTGCAGCTTGATTTGACACGCTCAACATTGTTGTCGGTCATGTCGAACAGGGCGGAGTATATTTCCAGTCTACACATCATACTTTGGATGGCTCTCTAGGAGTCACAAGTTACAGGGTATCGCCAGTGTATTCCAAATCACGGCACTTGTTGACACTTGCCAAATGTCTTCACAGCTACTTATGCTAGACTCCCCAATGGTTAAGGATCAAGCAAACACGGTCTCAGCATCCTTCTCATGGTATGTTGGCATAGGATATCGGTCGCCTTCCTGCAGGTTTAGTCATGAGTAACTGTACTCGCGGGTTTTGAGTTCACCTAGGTTAGCTTAGAGTACGAGCAATGCGAGTTCCCTCTGAGGATGAAGCAACGCAAACTGTTCTATGCGATTTTCTACCACTCGCCTTAACCCAAACAACCCCTAGATCCACCACTATCCGCTCGCAGCTGGCCGCGGCCCCAACTGCATCATTTACAGGTATTTAAAAACATATATGGATTGCTATATCTCTTCCTTTGTTGCACCTGTTCGGCCTCAATCAGATCCAAGGAGTATTTTTCATTCGTACCCCAGAGCTTGATGTGTTGCCGGCCAATTTATGAGTCAGGCTATGTGATCAATGGGTCTGATTGGAGTCATTCAAATAAACTACTATTTATATGTGATTCATCGCAGTCAGCTTAGCTACGCAGGCTTCCGCACCACTGGAGAAGCACCAGACGACCGTTTCGACCTTCTGGGTTTTGTCAGTGGTGCACGTTCCTCTGACCCCTGCCGGGTTCCGACTCTAGCAGCTTCTGTCACTAAGCCATGGGTGACGGCGGCAGACTTGCATGACTGACACTTGCCTACGATACAGCGCCGCTCATCCTACGCTGTTATGCTACTTACGAACAGTGCAGAGGCCAGTGGTTGGCCCCGGAGCTACGACTTTTCACATAACGACCGTGTACGACACAGCACTTAGAAGCTGTACGCACAAATTTTCAGTTACTCATAAGTAGTGTGGATTTATGTGACTACACCTAAATCACCACTAATCGTAGGGAACCACCATTTGTTGCACTATTTTGTGGGTTTAACCGTCCTTTTTTGAGTAACTCCTAGCAAGAGAAGTCGGAGAGTATTTTCCACACAGAACCGTCGTCAACACTTTCTTCGAAAAGTACAGCGATGAGTCCCCTTCAACCATGTCGTCAAGGCAGAGAGAAGATATAGCTTGCGATATGCCAACATTTCGATTGTTCTCTTCAGTCGCAAACACAATACCAGCAGAAACGCACAAACGATTATATACATGGAAAACAAGCAATACCAATCAAACTGTCACAGTCTCCCTTTAGATCCCTTATCAAAACAATAGGCAAGTGGCTACCGCTAGTATCACAGCCAAGACTAACAGGACACCTACATTGCCTTTTAATGCTAATGTTCGAGTTCATCTTGGTTCCTCACACTGCACTCCACATCAGCTCGGTCAGCGAATAATACTACCTGTTACTCTTCACTTTCTTGGAGCCGATGCGTACTATGTGATGGCGCATTAAATCCTCGATTATCTACTTCATTCTCTGTTGACAATTACTATATACTTCGAATCTCTGGTGCTAGCGAAATAATGGCTCTGGGTATTTATGCTTCTAGTATTACCCTAGTTAATTCTTCAAAAAATGAAACGACACTGGAGATATATATTTACTCTATGCTGCCGCCTCGCTCCTATGCGGCCACGAGTATTTGCAGACGGGTTCGATATTATCAGAGCATTCACACCCATGCACAATCAGGAAATCCAACCCGAAGTACAGATGTTGCAAGCTAAAAGCCTGAGCCAACAAACCACGGATTCCCTTGTAGAATTGCGGAAGGCAATCTACTCGTATGGACCCGAGTTACTCGTGGGATATGTGTGACCTATCTTCAATCATCGCAATGAGTTATCTAGTTCTATCTGACGACACGGTCGCGATCGTTACCAATGAATTGAATGAGTCGATTGTCTACAACATCTAGTCGGTCATTCGTGGGTTGAAGCCTATTGCGCAAATAATAACAATAGGTTTTTTATTTGTGTACCGATCACAATTTCTACATTGCGATCGCCGCTTACTATCATATACGTTCGGATTAGTTTATCTGATCCCCACCAAATCCAACGATACTCTGTACCCAATTTGATCACACCACAGTTAGTGACACGTCCGTTCAGGATTTCCGGATGATTTCAAATGTATACCAGGATACCGATCATACTTTAGTTCACTTTTGCGCGGACTCTCCTGGTCCCTAGGAGGCCACGACATCTAAACGTCTTGCTTATCACCTGAACCCATAAACCACAGTTCATCAGTATAAAAGCGAACTATCCACTAGTTCTCCCTGACTGTCGCGGTACATGAACCCAATACCAATTGGGGGATAATGAAGGCTTTCAAATTTAAGTGCCTCGCCAGACGCTCACCGCGTGTGTGTGCGTGTGCGTACTACGTCTATTGGCCGTCTGCCGTAGCCATTGATTGGTAACGATTCTGTGTTCATGCGACTTCGAATGTCTTGCGCTCCCTTTTTGGTTTACAGTGGTACATGCCGTTACGTGAATAACCACCTTACTACGCAGCTGTGTTTTCTGGTTTCGTCTTGGCGTAACAAACTGGCGACGGAGGCTGTTGCGATCACTAATGGCCAATTCAGTTACCTCACCTCAGCCGTTTTGGAATTCTTTCACGGAAAGGCCTACTACGCAGCAATAACTGCAGTGGAAAACTACCTTCACTAGTTACGTGGATCTACTTGTTTTCCTTGGTCGTAAAGGTACGATGGATGATCCATCAAATTACTGCGTCACCTCTTAGGCAACGAGCGACAGCGACATCTTAATAGCCTGCAACTACATATAAAACAAAACTTACAAACTATTTTCCATTTCTTGATCGCCTGTAGGTTGAAAAGCCCTATGCACTTACAGCACGTTACAAATTTACCATGCGGCAGCAGCAGAACGAAACTTTAAATGAGCTTGTTTCCTGACTTCTAACTGCTCTTCTTGATTGTGCCTCTAACCAGGCCAGGCCATTCCAATTCGAAGAAGCAATGCTTTTACGGGCATTAGTTGTTGGTGTTCTTGGCGCGAAAGCACAAGAGTGCCCGTTATCGGAAGACGAAAAGACCTTGACTTGGGAAAGAGCCTGTGACATAGTTCGACAACGTGCCAGTCTCGTTCAGGTGCTAACGGCTTTTTCCTCGCCTAATCTGACAATTTCGTAGGATGTACATAAAGTTTATCAAACCAAACCTGCTAACACATCTCACTCCGTACAACGCAAAATTCCGTTATTATCTCTGTGGTGAACAGCATTCAACACCGGTTGACTGTCAGCATCTTCATTCGATATGCAGATTTTATGCGAAGAGAGGACACATCCATAAAGTGTCTTTCCAAACGAAATCCTGTTGCACAAGGAGATCTTAAAATCACAAATCAGATCATCGAGGAGTTGAACCAGAATTGGATTAACACCACGACCGTTTTTAATCACAGTATCACCGCAGAGAAACCATTTGTCGTGTCTGTCCAAGTTAACGAGCAACCTGTAGATTTCGAAATTGATATCGGTTCTGCAGTTACGTTGATACGACCTGATGCTCCATCGCAACTACCAATTAGATCCTCCTACAATTCAACTACGATCTTACACTGGGCATTGGACACTTTTCTTGCACTCATATCCTACGGTAACTCGACAGATAACATCCATGTGTACGTCTCTGAGGGACCCGGCCCTAACATACTTGGTCGCGATGGGATTAAACGTCTTCCTGTCCTCACGTCAAACGTCAACATTGTGGAAGCTCGTCCGCAACTCTGCGGAATTTTGCAAAAATATGCAGGCTTGTTTGACTAAACTAAACCAGGGTTGTTGAAGAATTACCTGGTACATT